TCAAACAGGAAACGGGGAAAAGAAAGGAGGCCACATTCTTTTTTTTTTTTTTTTTTTCTGTGAATCAAGATATTTAAGTGTCTGGTTTTATGTGGTTATTTTGCTTCTTAAAGGAAATGTTCGGGAAGGATGCTCCTCCATACGAGCAAATGAGTGAAGACGAAGACTGGGGCCCTTCCAAAAGAAAACGAAGAGAAAAGGAGTCTGATGCAGCTACTACCCTTATGACTCTTCACGAAAGTGAGAAAAAGAGTTTGGATGGCGACATTGACGAAGAGAGAACAAAACTTCGCCATGACACACAAAATAAAAGATCATTTTTCAGAATTCCTCGAAATGCTGTAGAGGTAGCATTTTCCTCTCCCTTTCTACTGCATAAATATTCTGGTGAGAATTCTATATTTTATATTTATTGTGATAATTGGAGACGTTAACTTTTGTACTGTACCAGAGGCTTCGTGAAGCGTTTGCTGAGAACGAACTTCCATCCAGAGATGTGAAAGAAAAACTTTCAAAGGAATTAGGCCTCGACTCTGAGAAGGTAAAGATCTACTTATCAAACGGATTTAAATACTGAGAAGTATATTTCAAAGTTATTAGGAAGAATCAATACAAGGAGAAAACTTTTTAAGTATGTCGAATGCATTTTTCGCCACATTTTGTATTGGAGTGTTAGCATGGAATATTAGTTAATGTACAGATATCTATCGAGCCTTACTTGGATTTGATTCCCAAGAGTAATTATCAGTTGGAAATAACTTCATTATTACTTTTATTTATCTTATATTATTAACGAATATCAGTTGGAAATAACTTAATTTTACATTACTGGCAATTTTCAGGTTAGCAAATGGTTCAAAAATGCGCGTTATTTAGCTTTGAAAACCAGAAAGGTAAGCTGGTGGCCGTGCATATTTTTTTTGGTGCACATGTTCTCTTAGATTTGTAAGTCTTGCTTTAAAAGTAAAAGACTGCGATTACTATCATTTTGTCTCTTCAATTCAAGAGTACAATGGTAGATTTGACCTTAAAAAGACGATAATTTAGTCCAAGCAGTAACCAGAGTGCCCTCTTCTTTTGGTCTTTCATGTTCAGGCAGAGAAGGAAAAAGAGCTTCCCACTTCCACTGCGAGCATCTCCAAGGATTCCAAATGTGAAAACATGATGAAGGAAGACGCCGATCTTATCATGTCAGACAACACCTCAACAGAAACCGTGGTTTATGTTGCAAAAAATGTTCGAAAGACTAGTCAGAGAAAGCGCCCAAAGTCATTGAGCAGCCCTTTCAAGAAGAAGCGACGCAAGGGCTCTTCTCTTATGTCACCAGTAAATAAAAACAAGGTGTGTGTCTTCTGTATTCTAATTTGGTAAGAAGTTAACGAAGACTATAACTTCTTGTCCCGGGTGTGTCAGAACGGTTCGATTTCTTTTGACAATTTGTTGGTGATGAGCTGAAAAGTTCTCACTTCCACTGGTTTATATGGTGTTGGTCAAGGTTACAAACATAACACATACATAAATAACCCTTAAAGACTTGGGGGTGTTTGCGGATTAGATTATGGGGATTAGGGGTCAATCCGCAATCCAATCTGTTATTGCAGATTGAAAAAATCTCAATCCATTACCAATCTGTGAGACTTTTAATCCAATCCAATCAAATCCAATCCGAAAATAACGGATTTCGCATATTGGATTATTCGGATCCACGGATTGACTTATGTTTTGAACCTTGATTCTTTTAGCCTCTCTCTTTTCAATATTCTCATAAAATTAATAACAAAATTAAAGACCAACATAACATTAAAATAATTTCACAAAATCTAATTCATGACAACACATAATCTAACATAAAATTTAAGTCTGACAAGAATTTAAAATCTGAAATTCAAGAAAACAAACTTCAAAAAGTCTTGAATATAATTTATATATTTTCTATGTATGTTTTATTTAATAATATATAGAAAAATGAATGTAATATACATAGTTCAGATTGACGGATTTTGCGGATTGAGATTTCTAAATCCGCAATCCAATCCATAACTTCGGTTTGGAAAAATCTCAACCCGTTACCAATCTAAAATTCTTTCAATCCAATCCAATCCGCCATTATGCGGATTAGACGGATTGACAGATTCGATAAACACCCCTACTTAAAATGTATGCTCTTATGATTTCAGAACTTTGAATATTTTTCTAAAATTGATCAATTTCTTGATAATATTTTTGTTCAGGAATCTAAGGAGTTGAGTGATGATGTGATGTTGAAGAAGCTCTTAAAGGAAAAGACCAAAGAGAAGAAAAGGGTCAATTTTATTGCTGATGATGGATGTCTAGATGCAGAAGCAGAAATGGAGAGACTCTGTAAAGTCAAAGACAGATTAGAATCTTTGAAGCAGAGATTAGTACAGTTTCAAAATGCCAAAGCTAAAAATTCAGATAAACCCACTTTTTACGGAGAGTCTGTGATTTATGTTCCAATAGCAGAACTAAGGGAAAAGGCTTGATCCTTTTTGATAGGGCTTTTTTTTTTTTTTGTATAGTTATATCCTTGTGTTCCAAAACATGGAAAATTCTGGGTTTTCCTGGATGGCAAATGTATGTTTTTCTTAGCTATATATCAAAGAAAAAGGCTTACATAATAGTTACTTGTTGTGCACGGTACCCAGTCTTCTGATTTGTTTTCTTGTTTATGGTTTTTATTAATATGTTTTTGTATCAAGTAAAACAACTTTTACAGACTTTGCTGTCTTTTTTTCAAGAGTTTTAAGTCAAATTAGTCATTTATTAAACTTTCATAGTGAAGCAAGAACCTGTCTATTTCTCTGTCTATCTAATAGCTAATTGACACCTCATACATTTATTAAAGCACAACTAACGGAGTAAAAATCGTTTGTCTCACTGTTTGGGTTTTTAGACTTCATCCGGTTCGTAAATTTAAATTTTTAATTTAAATTGAGATATAATTTTATATGAGAATTTTTTACTGTAATAAAAAAAATTAGATATAATTTTTTATGAGAATTTTAAACTATAATAAAATTAAAATTAAAAATTTAAATTAATAAAATAAATGAGACCTTAAATTTTTATTTCCCATCTTTCGTCTTCCTTTCCCGTCTTTTTTTATTTGGTTTCTCTCGTGGTGTAACTAGTCATTTTCTTACTAATTGCAATGGGAAGGTAAGAGAAGAAACCGAATAAAAAAGACGAAAGATGGGAAAGTAAGAGAAGAAAATTAAAAGTATATGTCGGCATATTATGGTAGAATGATCTAATCAAATTTTATTAAGATAAATCAATTTAGAAAATTTAGAATATTCAAATCTTCCCTTATTTTCTTCTATTGATTATCCCGGTTAGTTAGGATTAGTAATTAGTTAATAAAATCTAATTTGAATATTAAATTCAAATCAGTCACTTTATTAAGAAATTTTCTTTTCTTTTATTCGGATAAGCCAACTAATCTTGGCTGTCTATTTATTTGTTTTTCCGCAACATTCAATAATATTGCAGTTTATTTTCTTTCAAATCTGCTTTCATGGTATCAGAGTGGGAGATCATGAGTTTAAATTCCCATAATTACTCTTTATCTCCATTTAAAATTGTTGTCATGTGTTGGGTGCTTAATATATCTCGGGTTTAAATATTCACGTGTTGAGCTTTCTAATTAATTTACCCACACGATTGCCCATTGTTCAGCCCACACGTGAGTGAGAGTGTTAAAGTATAAAACTATTATTGACCCACCTCCTAACAACTTAATCTTTTGAGATAAATTGATAAAATAACAGTATAATCCAAAAGCGTTAGGCGATTTTTTACTTCATAAGCGTAATCTCAAAAAAAAATAAATAAATAAGGGCTACGTCTCATTTTGCATTCTGTTTAGAAAGTTGTCTTTTTCATTTGTCACGTCTAATTCAAAATCTGTTGGCTAGAAGTGGAAGCTGTACTAATCTACTTTATCTTTAATATTTTGAAATCCAATGGCAAGCATACAGCAATTATTTGTTATCAATTCCTCAAATGAAGTCAAACATCACTTCTTATTTTATTTAATATACAGTGTGAAACCCATGACTCCCATTTTAATAATAGAAATGTAACCATTTCGATTCGAACCTGATGAACACGCGCTCACGCATTCAATTATTTGGACCTCGTTCATTTCACTGATTCAAGTTTTCAGTTTTAAATTTCTACACTAAAAAACTCAGAAAATGTCACATCTAACTTTTTCTGCTACAGTGTAAAATTCTCACAAAATGTCACATCCCAACTCGAATTAAAAACTCAAATCCGTGAAGTAAACGAGACATTGAGCTAACTTCACATGTCAAATTCAAAGAACTAAGGAGATAATTTACAGAATTCAAAGACTACTTTATGTGCTAGTTTTCACGAGCCTTGAATTAAATGTCTATTTTAGGCTATCTGAAAAAGGGAACTAAGAATATTAATGTACAAGAACAGTAAAGAAGATCTCATATCAATAATCCACTAACAAACAGATCCCAAAACAAAAATAAAACAGCCAAGCGTTCCACAACATGAGAAACAAATGCAAATTAATAAGGATAATGAGGTCACTGACAAATTCTTGAATTCTTTAGAGATTAAAACCCACAGAAGTTACTTCCTCAGGCAAAACTGAAATCTTCCTCAATAACCTCTTTAAAAATCCTCACCATTCCTTCAAAATCCATGGTTCTTTTTCCTGTCTCTAATGCTTGTGGCTGTAAATCCTCCATCCTCCAAACATTCAAATCTATAAATATATATCTGTGTGTATATATATTGAGAGAGAGAGAGAGAGAGAGAGAGAACAAAGAATATATCGACTGTATTTTTTTATAGCAATGAAAACTCTAGCTCGAATTACAATAATGGCATGAGCCCCAATATTAGTGCTTTGAATGTGGAAAACACATTTTTTAATATAAATATTTTGACACAAGCAAAACAAGTTTATATTAAATGAAAACAAAAATTATAGCAGTAAGTTCGTACAAGGCGTAGATATGTTTTCCTAAAGCTTTGTCACAAATCAGAAACCTCTCTGATTGGCTTCAACTTCGGTTATAAGGTACGGCAATTAGATCTTAGTTCCAACAGCTGCGGAAGGAAAAACGGAAACATCATGCAGTTGCATCGCGTGCCATTGGATTTTTGATCAAACGGTCACGATTCTTTAGCCAGCTCCTCTCAAGTGAAGCAATTCTTACCATGTTATGTTGTTTGCATACTTTGTATCTCCTAAGTAGGATTTCTAGTATTACCATTGCTCTTGGTGTGATCTGAAATTTTCCGTCTCTCCCATAGCCGGGGCCTCAGCTATACACCAAAGGAACGTCAGGATTAAAAGGCAAACACAAACAATAGACAACAAAATGGCACATATGACTATAAAAGCCCATCCGTTGCCGGGGGTTGAGTTCATATTTCTAACTAAATGACCTTTTAGACACGCAAGTAATAATACCCTAGAAGATAAATCTCATTCAAGTGGTTTCCCATTATGTTTGGCAACGTAAAGCAAAGCACGAGTTAATCTTTACTCAAATAATCTCTAGGGATTTTTCTTTTCTTTTCGAATACTTGCATCTCCTTAAGACTAATAATTATTCCATCAAATAATAATACTAATAATAATAATAATAATAATAATAATAAAATAAGACTAGTTATTAAAATTTAGGGTATTAGGCATTTTTTTCCACCTAAAGTACACTAATTGGCAAGTTTCCATGTGAACTTTTGATTTTGACAAATTACCCTTGAATTCAATGAAGTGTTACAAAGTTTCACAAATTGATGATGGCTGTTAAAATTTGTACGAAAACACCCTCATGCACGTCATGTGAGCTCATTTGATGGGCAAAGACATGAAGTTCGAGTGACATGAATCACGTCAGGTTACGTGCACAAGGGCGTTTCCATCCAAATTTTAATAGGCATCGCCTATTTAGGGGCACTTTGCAATTGATAGAATCTTGACAGATTCAATAGCAATAGTTAAGGAATGATAAGAGAAAAGATGAAAATTGAGTGAATCTTTATTGATATTCACAGAATGATACAAGAGAAATGCAGAACTTCGAGGGTCCGCAACCTCCCCACTTGGAATTAGCCCCAAGATTTTCCCAAAACAGATACTAGACTTTTCCTATCTTTCGCAGTTCCCCTATCCCCCTTTTATTCACTCTCTTTTCTGTAACTAACTAGAAAACTAACAATCTTCCCTAACAAGCTTTGAACAAACTTTCCTAACAAGCTTTCGAAACAATCTTTCCTAACAAGCTTTGTAACAACCATAGTACTAACAAGCCTGCACAATCATACTAATCTCTCTTGACTCTTCTTATTCTTCCTAATGTATACTTGCCTAAGTAAAGGCTTATCAGCAACCTTTTATTAAATTTTAGGGGCTAAATGCCAAAAGTAAGAGTTCAGGGCCGATTCACAAAAAGCCCAGAGGCAAATGCGCCATAACCCCTAACATTTATTTCCTATTTGATTCTTCACTCAGATGTTCTTGTTTTCTTTTCCAATAAGAAACCCATTAATTTATTCATTCTTTCAAGTTTCAACAAACTTGTTCATCACCGGTTAGTTCTACTTTCTTAGCATTCGAAGCTGTTGCTAAAGTTCCTATAAGAAGTGCGGATACATACCTTCTCGAAATCCTTCAATTGCTCAAGAACTTTGTCTGTTTCCATTTCCTGAGGCAGACATAGAGAACAGGCAAATACAAATAATTAGGAACAATCATCATACAACGCCACAATTCATGCAAAAAACTATCCCTCCCAAAAGCCTCGTCAACCCACCTGAGGCACAGCACAATCGGCATATCTGGAGTCCCATAGTACAGAGCAATAGCACTCCCAGTCATCAGTTTGGACTTCAAAGAGTGGAGCTCTGTTAACAGAAAATTTCCAGTATGTCACTCAACTTGAGCAGAGTCAACAAAAGATGTTAAAAGATTAATTTAGCCATGAGAATGAAGAAAGGATCAAAGAAGTAGATCCCTATTTGCTTATTTTATACATACATATATGTAAATAAATGTTAGGATCAATCTCATTCTTAGTCCTTGAACTATAGGCTAGATTCCATTTTGCGTCCCTGACTTTTGTACAATAGGCTAGATTCCATTTTGGTCCCTGACTTTTAAAGCATCTCAATGAGTCCCTGATCTATGAAACTATCCCAAATCCATCTGATTGATACTCTCAAAGAAAAAAGACATGTGAGGACCATGTGTGGTTTAGTGGGAGTTAATTTTTCCGTGCCTTGTTCAGTCGAGATTTTAACAGTCCGATAGACAAATGGAATTTGGAAAATTTGGTAGATCAAGGACTCATTCCGAGATGTTTTAAGAATTGGCACTAAAAATGAGTTCAACCCAAAACGTCTTTCATTTTTTGGGATATTATTTTACATGTCAATTGCATATACTTTGTTTTATTCATCAGTATATGTTGTATCAAACTACTTTTCGTCTTCCAAGGTTATCTGTTTAAGCTCTTGACTTTCTAGTATATCTGTCAAACAAGTAACAACTATTACATAGATGAAAGAAACTTGCGTTCATTTAAACTGTAATCAAACTTTTACTCAATTACAAAACCATTTATAGATTTTCCAACAACGCATTGTAGCTAAACCTTTGAACCCCAATTCATAAGTTTCAGTTGACTTATAGAGAAAATAAGTACGTATAGAAGACTATCTTTTGCTCACCTGCGCCACTTTCCACATATAGTTTCGTTTGCACCATCTAATGAACCGTCTAGAACCGCTCTGCATTGAAGCCAATTATGTACAGAGCTAAATTTATAATTATTGGGCTTCGACTCCTAATAATAACAGTAATAATAATAATAAAAATGTTAGTTGTCTCAATAAATTCTTAAGTTTACTGCCAAGAAGGAAAAAATATTGACTATAGACGGATGATGTTTGAGGCCTTACAAGCAAACTAGAAAACTGTGAAGGATCCAATTCCACGGATTCACCAATGCCATCATCGTCACTGCATTGAACCAAATAACATGAAGCTAAATGTGAGAAAAAAGGATGCACAAATAAAATGAACTATTTGTTGTTTCATATTTTTACTTCTGAGGATACCTTATCCTGTGTTGTTCACTTGTTGTGATATAACTTTTAGTTATTCAATAAATTTTCCCTCTTATCACACAAATGGATCCAGCAGATAACAAATAATTTTGTCTCTAAAATAAAGCCACACAAAGACATACTCGCCAAAGATTTTTCCTATCCAGATGTTGGGCCATCTCCAATGCAAATGTCAAAGTTAATGTCAATGCTATTTTTTGGCACTAAAGAGTGTAAAACGACATATTTGATATTTTATTCAATTGTGTGCTTCCATGCATGATGCTATTTTTTTTACACAACACGAGATTGAACCTGCAAACCCCAACATGATGCTATTTCATATGTGATATCTACTTTTTGTTATAATTATTGAGTTTTGGAGCTTGTAAAAGTAAGCTTTTAATTTTAAAATAATTCAAAAATGACAATATTGTAATAATTAGAATGAAAAGGTCAATACATCAACCAATAGCAACGAAACGCAAAGATTTGGCAAATGTTGTACTTGGTGCTGTATGCCAAATTTAGCACCAAAAACAACACTGCATTGAAGAACAAATTTCCTACACAAATGCTTAAATTAGGTATTGACAAGTACAGGAAACTCCATTCAATATCAACTACTTTCGTCTTCCATGTGTACACTTCATCCCCCAAACCTAACTAATCAAGAGAAAATTCATGCTTTTGGTTGAACCCACAAAAACCTAACTAATCAAATTCTGCAATTCGTTTAAGGTCTAGGGTTGATTCCCATCTCGTTTCTGATACAGAACAAAGTCAAATCTCCAAACCCATTTTAGGCGGAGTTATAAACAAATAAATTCGGATTGATTCTTATTCAGTTTCCTTATTTATTTTGGGAAAGTTTCCTGATTGTATGCATTACATTTTGTTTATTTAGTTTCCTATTTTACTTTTGTAATTAGCCTATAAATTGGCTACCCTGTTATAGACTATTCAGACTATGATTGAATATTGAAAGAACTCTCAGATTCTTCTCCCTCTCATATTCTTCTTCTCCCCTACTTCAAGTTCTATCTTAATCTCTTTTCTAAGTCCCTAATCGCTCTTCTATCTCTCTCTTTTTCCCTAAATTCCCCCTCTTTCTCTTCTCTTTTCTCTTTCCCTTTCTAGTCCTGCATCAGTTTCCTCCTCAACTAACCAAAAAATAGACAATGTCACCTAATGCTGCTTCTCACACTAGCTTAATCAAACCAAAAATGATTGATTCACATGATTCTAACAAAACCACAAATCCAATCTCATTTGCATTATCCAAAAACAGTATCTCCGCGCCTTGATCCAAAGGAGCACTAGGAGAAGCCTCTTTGTTAGTTTTATGTTTTGCTCCTAAAAACCGTTCATGGATTTCGTTGCAAAAGGCAAGTGGTAGGCAATTCAGCGAAACTGAGGACAATATCAACAATTTATGAAAAGTTCCGTGAAGCTTTCAATGGCATAAAAGAATCAAGTTGTCGAGAAACGTTACAATGCACTTAAAGACTCAGTAATTTTCTCATTCCCAGCACCAGAATTTTCCTCACACCTTCTCATTACACACCCTATGCCAAATGCATTAGGCTTCCATTGGATATTACAGAAATACCGTGGCTATAATAGTTGAAGGTTTCGAATCCAAACCCTTCTACTAAACTCAAGTTAACAAAAATGCATCACAACCTCAAAACATACTACCAAATCTAACCAGAAAATCACACTAACCAAATCTAAGCCTCCATTCCATAAAAGGGGTAATAATCCTTGTCGATAAGACTTATTAAAGTCCCTAAATAACCAGAAAATCACAGCCTCTAATCATATATCAGTACATTATATCTATATGCCCTAAGCTTTGACCTTTCTAAATCCAAGGATTATTATCACTGGTGCCCCCTCAACTTTAGGGTTATTCTCAGTTTGTCCCCCGAACTTTAAAAACACTTATTCTGTCCCTGAACTTTAAATCGTTCTCACTTAACCCATTTTGTTGTTCTGTTAAAAACATATTGAAAAAAAGAGAGTAATGTAGCCACGCGATCTTTCTGTTTGAATTTCTGTTAAAAACAAACACATAAAAATCATATGGCCACACTTAACCCCCTCTCTTTCCATTTAATTTCAATAGAAATTCTTACAAAATGGCTTAAATGGCACAAATTCAAAATACAGGGGGCAAAGAGAGAATTTCAAAGTTCAGGGGACAAAGTAGGAAAAACCCCAAAGTTCAGGGGGTGCCAATGAGATTAATCCTAAATCCAAAATTACTGTGTTTAGGACTTTAAGTGCATTAAACAAGATCAAAACAAATTGACATCTAGAACAATATCACAGACAAGAAATTAAATAGGATAAAAGACTAAATAATTATTAATACTTAGGCGTCGTTCATTTCATCGATTCAAATTTTCAGTTCTAGATTTCTACAGTTAAAAGCTCTTAGAAAATGTCACATCTAACTTTTTCTACTACAGTTAAAAGCATGTCACATCTCAGCTCGAATTGAAAACTCAAATCCGCGAAGCGAACAAGGCCTTAAATGGTTCATTTGTATTTAAATTAAGAATATTTACCCCTTCTTTTATCTAAGATCCAGATATCCAAATTGTAGTAGCTTTCACCTACAAAACAAGTTCATTAATTTAATTCCTACATAACACCATGGTGTTGACTCCGATTGATTATTTCTTACTAAACATAAGAATTTCATCTTTTATCCGTAAGGCTTCCTCAACAGACTTATTTTAGGATAATTTTCACCTAGGATGCACTTTGAGGCAGTGTTTCCTTGTATAAATATGGGGATTCACCTTGTGTTACTTCAATCCAATTTCTTCTCCATAACATGGTATGAAGAACCAAAAACGAAGATGACAAAATGCCATGAAAGGTTTAGAAACAAAAACCAATTCTAATCTAAGCAAGAGCATATAAGAGAATAAAATACATGAGGATACTCAAGATATCTTCTTTCCCAGCTCACGTAAAAAATTCTCCAGGCCTCCCTCAAAAGGTCTAATGGAGTCACAATCTATCTATATATATATATATATATATAGCCTTTACTTACATAGATGTACAACCCAACACTTGCCTAACCCAATTTACATAGCTATACTCTTCCTATTAAGGAACTAGTGTCCTTGCTAACGGGGGAATCATAGACCAAAACCATACAGGTCCTTCTTTTCCTCACTTATCCTTTGTTTTACAAGAAACACTACTAAGTAATCCAATAACTCCCAAAATGGCTCGTGGCCAGCCCATAATTGCCAGATATACAAAGACGATGGGCCACATCAGCTCTAATACCATGTATATTAACACAAGGTCTAAACCAAAAGGCTATTTGAATTTGAAATAAGATTTGTAAATCCCAAGCATTTCTTAAGCACCAAACAAAGGGGGACGGAGGTGATGGGAAGGGCTTATCAGTCCTCTTCTTGAGGGTGGTAGTCGTGCATCCTGGCAGGGGAATTTTTATTTTTTGGTTTATCTAATGTTTTTGGATTTTTAGTATTTTCTTTTTCTATGGATATTTTGGTCATTTTTATAGTCAAAATTGACTATTGACCTAGAAAAAGGTATAGGTTTGTGTGGCCAAATATAAAATTAGTTATGGAGGAGGATTATTAGCCTATTTTAGAATAAATATCCCTAGAGTTAAGGGATTTTTGTTTTAGGCTGTTTCCATTTTTTATTTTTTGTTTCCTGATTTGTTATGTTTCCTTTTTTTGTTATCTTTTGGTCTCACCTATATAAGGTGGACAGTATGTATAATTTATTTTAAAGGGAATAAGATTATTGAGTGCAGTGGTTTCCTTTCTTTGTCTTCTCCTCGTGTTCTTCCTATATGGTATCAGAGCCGGACTAAGTCTAGATGTATTTGAATACCGAGTTGTAGAAGGCGATGTATAGAAAGGCTTTGACTGGAGCAAGCGGAGGCGATGTTTCTGAGGAAGCCTCGAGTACCTCTCAAACTACCTCCACAATTGCTCCCACTGCAATTCCCAAAAATTCCATCCATACATCTCTACAAATCACCACCCATAAGTTAAATGGGAAAATTTTTTTCAAGTGGTCTCGATCTGTGCTGATGATAATACGAAGAAAAGGAAGACTAGGCTATTTGGATGATAGCACAACCATCCTCTTACTCATCTTCTCTTATGGATCAAAAAGGTAAAGCGTTAACTATCTTTTGTGGCTTGGCAGAAAAAGAAGAAGCATGGATTATTGACTAGAGCAACGGATCATATGACTGGGTGTACTAAACTTTGCACCACATATACTCCTAGTCTTGGAAATCGCAAATTACAGATCGCTGATGGGACCTCTTCGGTGGTAGCTAGTACTGGGACTATAAGAATTGGACTCAATGTTACGTTAAAAGGGGTTATCCATGTGTCGAATTTCAGCTTCAATCTCCTGTCCATTAGTAAGATAACCAAAGATTTGGATTGTGAAGTAACCTTTTTTCCATCTGTTTGTGTTTTTCAAGACCGATTATCGGGGAAGAGGATTGGCAATGCTAAGGAACTGGATGGCCTATACTACTTTTGAGGACAATTCTGGTGTTACTGGGAAGGCTCAAATGCTTGCAAGCAATTTTTTTTTCTACAACTCAAAAAATTATGTTACTGCATTATAGATTAGGACATCCTATCATGCATAATGAAAAATTTCAATGTGAAGTTTGCCAATTAGCAAAGCATACTAATAAACTCCAGATCAATTAAACAACAGAATATACTAAAGAAAGGTTTGTATTGCTGGAACTGAGAAATCAACAATGGCGGATCAATTAGTTACAAGATCGGTATGGGGATTTTCGAGAGATCCCGTGCTCTCCTAACAACTTCTTGTGAAAGTCTAGTAAATTCTCTGATACCCTCCTTACTCTACTCCTGT